AGAGTAAATTAAATCTAGAGATAGCAAATTAAAAAACATAGAGAAAACACAACATATCCGAACATAGATTGGGCCATAAGTCTGCAAATTAAGCATGAATGGAGCACGAGAATGTGAGAGCATGGGAAAGACATCTTGATGAACTAATCCTATTAGTTTAACCAAAAACACCACTTAAAAGTTCTCAATGAGGTAAAAGAAATGCGAGTACGATATTACATACCGTTTCGTTTTCATCAATGTAGTACAATGGAACAGCGAGGAATTTGAAGTTAGTAGGCACAACAAACTGTTAATTTATCTGCAATTTCAAAAAGAAAAACGTTGTGTATTCGTGAACAAAATATGAGGATAGAGCAAAGCTTTGAGTATAAGCGTGAATCTACAAAAGTCTCGACTTTAACTACCATGAAAGTGGAACCAACTAATCTTTGGGTGCATTGGATTGGAAGGCAAAAAAAAGATACATCGTCTAAAAATTGGGTCTCCACCACATCCGAATGCATTCTCCAAACTATTAAAATTTTTATAATTAGAGAGACCATTCTAAAGCCAGTAACAATCACAACAAACAATTAAAACTTTCATTCTTACCTCTAATCCTGAACAATGAGATTTTCATTAATCGAAAGCTCTAAAAACTAAGAAAGAAAAATTATGCATAGAGAAGTAATGAAATAGTAAAGTAAACCTGATTTTCCAGGCCTTAAACGACCACATATTTTATGACATCGAAATCGATCAACTAAAAAAATCACTTCAAAAGAGATGATGAGATCTGTAAATTTGCTGTGAGAAGACGAAGGAATAAATCACGGTGAACCTGCTGCAAGAAGACGAAAGAAGAAATATGTTAGGATCGATGAAAAATTAATAAACGAAAAAGAGATAATTGTGACTAAACCCTAAAGCTCACATATATATATACACGAAATTGTATAATTGACATATAGGGTTTCATATGAAATATGGGTTATAATAAAAAAAAAATAGCCTAAACTCATTAAAATGTTTATCAAACGATTACATATATACAATAAAATAAAATAATGATGAATCTATATGGGCCTAACGAAAAATCCAAACCAAATAATTAGGATCCAATCAATTAATATAGACCAACGATTAAGAGTATTTTAATAAGAAAAATGTGATGGCATGAATATGTAATTTTATTGATTCATTAAGGGTAATATAAGCAAACCAAATCTTAAACTCACTCTGGAGCTGCCACGTAGGATTTTTGACTTCTCATTTATAAGTATAGATTCAACAATTGGATAATATTTAAAGTGCACTTCCAATGTAGTTGAATATACTATATGAATTTAAGAAGTTGGTTTTAAACACTATTTACCAAAAAAAACCATATATGCAAAAAAGAAAATGAAGAAATCCAGATCAATATCTGACTTTATCAAAAAAAAGAAAAAAAAATTTACCAAGAACTTCAACATGTTTACCCAAAAAAAAAGTTGGTTTTTAACATATATTAGAATATAGCTCACACGATGCGCGAGTTTTTCTTTCAGAGTTTTGTTAAATTTAGTGACGGAAATAATTTTAATTAATCTAGTATTTTATATTTACAATTAACAAAACAAGCAATATTTTTTAGATATAAAATAATATTTCATTTGAACTGAAATGAAATTAATTGTTTCTCTTATTTGTATTGTATGAAAATATGAAGTGATACTCAATCATTTCAAAATCGATAGTTCCTATTTGGAAATAAATATGTTTGTTTGAGACTTTTT